CAATATTTCTTCATGATCTTTCGGGATTTGCTCAATATTTGCGGACTAAATGGATTTGTGAAATTTAAGCAACTTGTCTCATCTGGCAATCGGTTGATAAATTATTTTCGGCTTACAGGTGAAACATGGCATTGGAGGTTACGCAAGTCCTTCTGAATGCACAGTCAATAGATGCAACTGTGAGGAAGCAGGCAGAAGATAGTTTAAGGCAATTCCAGGAGCAAAACCTTCCCAGTTTCTTGCTGTCTCTCTCTGGTGAATTAGGAAATGAGGAAAAGCCAGTTGACAGCCGTAAATTAGCAGGTTTGATACTTAAGAATGCACTGGATGCCAAGGAGCAACATAGAAAATTTGAGCTTATTCAGAGATGGTTAACGCTGGACAGCAATGTGAAGGGCCAGATAAAAACATGTTTGTTGAATACGCTGTCTTCAGCAGTAGCTGATGCTAGGTCCACATCATCCCAAGTCATTGCAAAGATTGCAGGAATTGAGTTGCCCCATAAGCAATGGCCTGAATTGATAAGTTCACTATTGTTGAATGTTCATCAACAGTCATCCCATGTCAAACAAGCCACCTTGGAGACCCTTGGTTATTTATGTGAGGAAGTATCTCCAGACGTGATAGATCAAGATCAAGTGAACAGGATATTGACAGCTGTTGTCCAGGGAATGAATGCATCTGAAGGAAACAACGATGTTCGACTTGCTGCTACTCGATCATTGTACAATGCTCTCGGCTTTGCCCAAGCAAACTTTAGTAATGATATGGAGCGTGATTATATCATGAGAGTTGTTTGTGAGGCCACACTATCCCCTGAAGTGAGGATACGCCAGGCAGCTTTTGAATGTTTGGTCTCAATTGCATCAACATACTATGACAAATTAGCTCGTTACATTCAGGATATTTTTGGCATTACAGCAAAGGCTGTTAGGGAAGATGAAGAACCTGTTGCTCTTCAAGCCATTGAATTCTGGAGTTCTATTTGTGATGAAGAGATAGATATCTTGGAAGAGTATGGGGATGACTTTACTGGGGATTCTGATGTACCGTGCTTTTATTTCATCAAGCAGGCTCTACCTGCTCTTGTGCCCATGTTGCTTGAGACACTTCTTAAGCAAGAAGAGGACCAGGATCAAGATGAAGGGGCTTGGAACATTGCTATGGCTGGGGGTACATGTCTTGGGCTGGTTGCACGAACAGTGGGAGATGACATTGTTCCGCTTGTTATGCCATTCATTGAAGAGAACATAACGAAATCAGATTGGAGACAGAGGGAGGCAGCGACATATGCTTTTGGTTCAATTTTGGAGGGGCCTGCCCCAGAAAAATTAATGCCAATTGTTAATGTGGCTTTAACTTTCATGCTGACTGCCTTGACCCAGGATCCTAATAACCATGTGAAGGACACTACTGCATGGACCCTAGGGCGGATATTTGAATTCCTTCACGGCACAAACATAGATACACCCATTATTAATCAGGCAAACTGCCAACAGATCATTACTGTTTTGCTTCAGAGCATGAAGGATGTGCCAAATGTTGCGGAGAAAGCATGTGGTGCCCTCTATTTTCTTGCTCAGGGTTATGAAGATGTTGGTCCATCATCTCCTTTAACTCCATTTTTCCAAGAAATTGTCCAGTCCCTTTTGACCGTTACTCACAGAGAAGATGCTGGTGAATCACGTCTGAGGACTGCTGCATATGAAACATTGAATGAAGTTGTGAGGTGTTCAACCGATGAAACAGCCCCCATGGTGCTACAACTGGTTCCTGTCATTATGATGGAACTGCACAATACTCTCGAAGGGCAAAAACTTTCATCTGATGAAAGGGAGAGACAAGGGGAACTACAGGGCCTGCTATGTGGGTGCTTACAGGTTCTTATTCAGAAGCTAGGATCATCAGAGCCAAATAAGTATGCCTTTATGCAGTATGCGGACCAAATTATGGGACTTTTTCTAAGGGTGTTTGCTTGCAGAAATGCCACTGTACATGAGGAAGCAATGCTGGCGATTGGAGCTCTTGCCTATGGAACAGGCCCAGATTTTGCAAAATACATGACTGAGTTCTATAAATATATAGAAATGGGGCTTCAGAATTTTGAGGAATATCAAGTTTGTGCTGTCACTGTTGGTGTGGTGGGGGACATATGCAGGGCATTGGAGGATAAGATTTTGCCTTACTGTGATGGGATTATGACTCAGCTGCTCAAGAATTTATCTAGCGATCAATTGCATCGTTCTGTTAAGCCCCCTATTTTCTCATGCTTTGGTGATATAGCACTGGCTATTGGGGAGAATTTTGAGAAGTACTTGATGTATGCCATGCCCATGCTTCAGAGGGCAGCGGAGTTATCTGTACACACAGCAGGGATTGACGATGAAATGACGGAGTATACAAATTCTTTGAGAAATGGAATTTTGGAGGCGTATTCAGGGATCTTCCAAGGTTTCAAGAGCTCTCCAAAAACTCAGCTTTTGGTCCCCTATGCACCTCATATACTGCAATTCTTGGATAGTATTTACATCAGAAAAGACATGTAAGTTCTTCGCAGAACTCTCTCTTCATGTCTGTGTGTGAATGTGTTTCCAAATTGGAATTGTTTGTTTGATGTTTTCATGCTTGTTTTTCCTGTAGGGATGAAGTTGTAATGAAAACTGCCATTGGTGTGCTTGGTGATCTAGCCGACACACTGGGGAGTAATGCTGGTTCTTTGATACAGCAATCTGTCTCAAGCAAAGACTTCTTGAGTGAATGCTTGTCCTCCGATGATCACCTGATTAAAGAATCTGCTGAATGGGCTAAGTTGGCCATCAGCCGTGCCATTTCAATTTAAGGTCTTTGCTGGTTGGCAAATTATTTTTTTCACATTTGAAGTCCTTGCATGCATATGGGTGTGTTGATTTGGGGTCCAGATTGCATCTTACAAGTCTTCACTCTCAGGACAACGGGAAGCTGTTCACTTCTAGTTGTCACTAACTCTTGCATCATCATCATGAAAGCATTGCTAACTATTGCATTAGCAGCATCAAGTCGGGGATCTTGTATGTCATGGTAGAAGTGGGAGGAGGGAGCGTCCATTAGCGCTCCCAGTTCGTATGGCTTGGTCGGTTCGAATTGTATCTCTGACTTGAGATAGTGTCCAACCTAGTGGGGTTGGCCGTCGTGAGGTTTTGGGTTGTGGAAATGGATCAAATACAGGGATTGTTCATTCACTTGTTCTACCCCCACTTAGACACCCTAGAGTTATTTTTTCTCGAACTTCTACTCTAGCGGTTCTAGTTAAGGACATTTTAGCCTTTTGTTTATTTTCTCTGCATCAGTCTTGTGAATTTTCATGGTCTGGGTTGTATTCTGGTCTTTCCTGTCAAATTCACTTCATATTGTACACTTCGTTTGGTTCAGTTTCATAGAAATACACCATGAAGGGTCATCATATTCTGTATTTGCATTTCATTTGGTCGCATCTTGTAGTTGTTCAACATACACGGTGAATTCACGATATCACTATATCACTCTGGTCATTTTTTGAAGTACAGTACTCAGTCTGCTTTCGCGCTATTTATTTCCTTTCCATCTTGCCACCCTTTTTGCGATATTTTGTTCTGCAAATGATTATATGTATTAGAGGCATCACAGAAGTTGTGATGTAAGTAAAGGGTTGATTGTGTTTTGGGATTCAGTTGTTGGATTAGACGAATTTTCTTTGATGATTTTGTGGGCTTGTATATATTATTTGTACATGGAAAGTTTTGATAATTGGTAATTGAGGGTGTCAAAGAGTATATTCGTTGCCAGGGTTCTGCCACTATGTGGCGCCTTGTTTGGATACATTTTCAACAGTTTCTTCTCTCTCCCTCTCTCAAGTAAAATTGTTTTCTCCTGTCTTGTTAATATATTTTGATTCTTCATTGCATTTTTTTCTGTTCATGATGATCCTTTTGAATGATTAAATTAACTTTTCAACTCGGCCAACTTTTCATCCTTTAGATGATGTTGGTAAGAATGAGATATTCATAAAACTGAACTTCTAGATGTACCATTTTCTTTTGGCTTACACGCAGGAGCAGAAGTAACTTTTTTACAAATTAGCTTTAATTTCTTTGACCTGAGCTTGGTAAAGAAGTTGCCACCTTCTTTGTTGCTTGATCTTTTCATTTGTATTTTGGATGTAAACAGCATTTTCATACGTCCATTTTAAAACAGTTTTTCTGATAGTCAGAAGGAAGCAAACAACTTGCTGCATTCAACCACAATTGGATCTATTTATTAATCTCTGTTATTTAAGTAGTATTTTGTATGTTAATTGGTTACCTGTCTTGTGATTTGGTGATTAATCTTAACCACATAGGATTCTTGTACCTTTAACAAGCAGTAAAGATCTGATTTCCAAGCATTCTAACTTGGTTTTTAATTGGATGCATGAGAAGGAAATGAAATTTAATGCAAATAGTAAGGCTTTATATTACTGAAGAAGCTCTCTCATTGTAGAAGGCCAATATACAATCTCCAAAAGATGACCCCAAAGCATTTTTCTTTCCTCTTTTTGGCTATTATAGGGCAAAGAGAGCAGTATCAAGGCTTTCCATTCCCAGGCTTCTTCGGATCGTGCCTATTATTTGCTTTGGTTTCATCGTAGTCTTGTATGTCAAGTGTCATAAGTTTCCTTGCATTCATTTGTATAATGCCACCAACCTTATCAAGTTAGAGAAAAATAATACAAATCATTTAGATGCATAAAACAATGTTACTATGATAAGTGCAAAAGAAATAGTTTGAATAGGTTATATGGACTCTTATAGTTCACTCTAAATCTCGTTGAGAGATCATTCCTGAAGGAAGATGTTATGTGACATGAACAATACCTTGAAGATTGACTTATCTGCAATCTTGGTATCTCGAAGTGGTTTATCCATTCCTAAAGCAACATGAAATGTTGATAATTCATTAAGATAATAGAAATTACGAAACGAGATGAGAAGTAGAAGAAAAATGAGGTACCTGATGAGAAAGGAAGGACGAAGATCAAGAATAGAAGGAGAAGAAGAAGAGATTTGAGTTTTAGAGACATTGTGTTTGATTTGGAGGTGAAGGGAAGAGGGGAATGGAAAGTTATGGTTTTATCCTTAATTTGCAATGGAAAATGGAAAGCAATAACATGATTGAGTGCATTAACTTTAAGCCCACAACCACCAAAGTCAACTCTGCTGTTCATTCTTTTATTTTATGATTAAAGAAAGAATCTATTTTTAAATATATATATATATATTTTTTTGTTTGGAAAACAAAAAGGGACCATAGAAAGAAGAAACGCAAGTAATTATGTGCTTGTCTACACTGTAAATGGCCAATCCCCTTTGCATGGCCTCAGCTATTGCCAAATTCAGTGCTGCCTATTTTTGGTGTGTTGTTTTTTACCAAGTCAATCTTCCCATATTTTATATTTTAAGTTCTGAAGAGCCAAAAGCATGAATCTAAATGCTTCTACTTTCACTTGATTTGGTATGATAAAGTAGGAAGACAAAAAGGCACAAGCATCCTTCTATGTGTGGAGGGTTTGACCTGCCACAATATCTGCACCTCGACGAGGCGCACGTTCCACTTTTAAGAGTGTTAAACTTGGGAGATAAATTTAAGAGTGTGTGATGTCTGGGATTGAAAAGCCTTTCTTTGGAAATAGGAATGTGTAACATGGGATTGTGTAGCGTGTGATCGGTGTGGCGTAACCCGACTTTGAAGATGCGATACTCATCACATTCGAGCCCCTTCCCCCGACACCTCTTAATAGTTTTCGAGACAACTGCTTCATTATGTAATATTTAACAACTTGTTCCCCTGAATCTTACTAGGACTCACTTGTGAATTCATAGTATCTTTGTCTATTATCTCATTATTATTAGGTTAAAAAACACATTTGGTCTCCATACTTTCACTAGAGTAACAATTTAGTCCTTCAACTTTAGTTTGTAATCATTTAGTCCACATACTTTCACTAAAGTCAATTTAGTCCCTGAACTTTAACTTGTAACGATTTAGTCCATGTAGTTTAAAATTTGTAACAATTTAGTTCTCTGTCATAAAAACTTTTATTAAAATTAAGTATCAATTTTTATCATATAACAATTTAATCTTTCTAATTTTTAAACATATTTGGTCCCTCTTTAGTTTATCAATATATATATAAGAAATTTAACAAAAAAAATTTCACGATAAGAATTAAATCATTACCAACTTTAAATTACAAGGACTAAATTGTTACATATTAAAGTTCAATGATTAAATTTGTTACCAATTTGAAAGTACGTGGACTAAATCGTCACAAACTAAAGTTCAAGGATTAAATTGTTGTTTTAGCGAAAAGTACATGAACCAAAAGTGTTTTTTAACCTTATTATTATTATTTTATTATGACATATAATAGATCCAAGAATGTCTAGAACAACTTATATGTATTTTGAATAATTTTATAGGAAAATTTTGTGCCCCCTTAAACATGTTTAGAAAACTCCTAAGATGTTGAATATTTCATCTAAAGGTGTTCATTCTAATTTTGAACCTATAACTTCAAAAATATCAAAACGTACCTAACTTGTACTTTTGACTCCCAAGACCTACCGATAATCCGAACAATAACGATGAAATATTATAGATCAAGTGATAGATGTTTTACTCGTGAGAAGTGGTAAATTTCCTCTTTTATTTTTATAATCAATCAACTTAAATATGTGTCTCTCAACTCATCATCTTGCTAGGTTTAGCATCAAATAATTCATAGAATATAAATATATTAATATCATATTGTTGGGTATTATGGTTTGAACCAAATTTAGGTAGCTCGACAGTAAGATAGTGGGAATTCCAAAATCCTTTTCTTTTGGGACTCATTTTTGTGGTAGCAAAAAAGACCCACTTTATCAAAAGAGAGCCATTGGTCCTCATAATTTGGCTTTCATCACTTTCTAACTCAAATAGATGTAATAGACACACATGAAAGTGGGCTACATAATAAATCATAATAAATCATAATATATATATATATATATATATATATATATTTCTTTTTTCCAAAAAAGAAGAAATTTGAACTTTGGAAAGAGATTTGAATTAGGTTCCCACTAGTGGGAGCACTAAAAATAAAAAGAAGAGACAACTCAATATAAAACTCTCAACAAAAGTTTCTAAATTTTTTTTAATCACTCATTAAGACAAAAACAAAGCTAAATCAATCATGGTGCTTATGGGATAGTGATAGACCATAAGTTAACTTAATAAAAATCTCTGTTTTTTTTTTCTAATGATAATTTTTTTGTAATTAGTTTTTTTTTTCCTTGTTTTGGGTTGGGTTGTAGCCTTTAATGTTGTCTGAAAATTGTGAAAGTGGCCTCATAAATTAATTAAGCAAATGCTAAGCATTGGAAACAAAGTATAAGCTTTGAGATTTGGAAATTAATCATTATATTATTTGACCTCTTTTGCTACAAACCACATGAGAAACTTCTTAGTGAAATTTTTGAAAAAAAAAATCATCTAGAAGAGATAATTTACTACATGGAAGGCGTGTAATAACACCTGAGAAATTACTAATTAGTAAAGGAGATAAAGTAAGAGAAAAAATATATATATATATGTAGAAAAAAACTGATTATAATAAGAAAAATCCTTGATGTCTCATGGATTCCGGTGTAGGTACATGCTCCAGCTATAGTAGAAAATGCTAAAGACCATCATGTTCGATCATGAGTTATCCTTTGTAGGAATAGACGAAGAATGAGCATCCAAGAAGAAAATCAACCTAAAAAGAGTTAAAAAAAGCTTCCAACATAAAAGTTCAAGTTAGAGAACTACTTTTAACTAAGTACTCCCTTAATTAGTTCCTCCCAAAGCACTTTAGGAAGCAATTTTTTCTTGAAATAATGAAAAATTATTTGGAGGAGAAAATATAAATGACATAAATATTCTAAAGAAAATGTTTCTGTTAGATGTTTAATATGTGAAAGAAAGTGAGAAAACCGTTGAGTATACAAATTTAACATCCGGAAATAATTAAATTTGTGTATTAAGAATTTGAAACTTATTTTGTATTTGTAACAAATTTATTATTTATTTCATAAGTTGTTTTTTGTTTCAATTTTGTGTTATGTAACTTTATTTTGTTAAAGTTACATGTTGTCAAAGTTGAAGTTATACTCCCAATAGAAGTTTTTTTTCATGTTGTTAAAGTTGAACTTAATTCATGTATGAGAAGTTTCATGTTTAATGATATCCAAGGATACCTCAATTGAGTATTCTCCTCCTCTCACAAGAATTCTCTCTTCTGTTTGAGTTCTTGTTCTTGTTTGTGTTGAGAGCAAAGTGTCTAAGAGTTCTGCCAGATCCAAGTAGTTCGAGGTTGCTGTTCTACTAAAGTTAGTCGTTGTATCTTGCTGAGACGATCGCTGTAATTTGCTAACTTGTGCAGAGCAAATAATTATCTTTAGGTCAACTCTATTGAAACGTGTCTCGACTAATTTAATCAAGTTTGTGGTGTTCATCAAGTTGTCCGAATTTATATTGTTGTAGTCAATTACATTATAATCTGTTTGTCAGTGTTATTCAATTTACATATACATCATATATTTATCCAAACAGTTTCTTACGAGAAATGTGGGTCCAATAGTGGTAGATTCACATTTATGAGTGGACTGAACACCAAAAATTAATATTGTGAGTTTTTTGTGCAATCACTCAAAGTGGTGAGTGCTATTGAGAGTACTCTATGAGATGCCTTAATTATTTTGATCACATTTTCATTCAATATGGCTGAGCTGACCTATGAAAGATGAAGGGATTGGGAATCTAAATTCAACCATTGTTTTTGTTTGAAAATTTGGTTTGTGGCTGTCACCATCATAAAAGGTTACTATCAAATCTCTCTCGATCTTTGTTTCCACGAAATTTTTTCAAGTTCAATTGCTTTAGGAAATCATTTCGAAATCTTTTAGATATACAATTGAAAATTTTTTTGGCCAACATGATATTTAAAGAAAAAACAGCTTATTGTCGCTCATTTCGCTCTCTTCGTTACGATCTCTTTTGTTTTGCTCCCTTTCATACTAAAATAAAAGTGATTATCAAACTTGTGCTTCAAATTCTGAACTCTTATCCCAATAAAGAAAAACAGAATTAGAAAAATTGCATTTAAATGAGAAATGAGAGATGGATGGTTTGATTATCTCCACTTCTAGTCACATCATGTGTTGACTTGTTTGGATTTGGGGTTTTGAAAGGAAAAATATTATGCTAAAAGTAATTTGACTTGCTTCTCTGACTTATAGCTTTTTTTTTTCACAAGGAAAAATTATTACTTCACACATTCCTTATCACCATATTTTAGAGTATTGGAGTGAGTTGGGATTTGAATAATGTTTGTATGGCCTATAGTTTTAGGTTGAATAAAAGTGGGAGTTTTTAAATGTCATTGATGATGGATAATATACATACATGCGCAGCGGAAGTGAGCAAGAATCGAAATAACAATCTAGATGCATAATACAATCTAGGATTAAACATGCATGATCATACATTATGATGCTTAGAGATAAGTAGAGAAAAATACAAACATTTGTAGCTTTTCAAAAATCTTCAAATAGATCCAATGAAGGACCACCAAGAGATCTTCCTAGCTATTCTCAAGGCTTGGAATAGAGTGGTGAGACTCTTTTTAGAGAAGGAAAAATTTAGAGAAAAGTGGAGCTAACAAGAGTTATGTAAGCTTTTTTTGAAAAAATAGCCAAAGGTTCCAAGCCTTTTAATGTTTGAACAAAGGCCTTCTTAAATAAGCAAATTACATGCAACTCTTGCATGTCAAAGTTCACCAAAAGCTTACAACACATATTCCACTTATGCATGGCATGGCTAGGTGTCAAAATGCATGTCTAAGTTTACCAAAAGCTTACAACACACATTCTACTCATGCATGGCATGACTAAGCGTCAAAATACATGTCTAAGTTCATCAAAAGCTTACAACACACATTCCACTCATGCATGGCATGACTAAGTGTCAAAAAGTGAATTTTTGAGATTATTTAAATGTTYCACTTAACAAGTTAGTGAAATTTTCCACCAACTTG